GTGTTTTTGTAGTCCTGTGTGTTGAAACTTACCTAGGAAAGTGAGCTAAATTCCTTATCCTACAATGTTTTATCATGTAATTAGGTCAGTCACTGGCAGAAAGAGTAAGCTCCAGTGATTCCATGGGTGCTCCAGAGTACTGCAGAGAACCTAACTTTGGGGCTCACACCCTGGACAAATGTTATCAATGACATCTATTTTGCCAAACCAACTTTCAAATAAGCCACTCTTGCTGTGTTAGGCTTGAACCCAAAGGAATGTTTGGCGAAGAATTGGTGTTAAAATTAAGGTCTGTAGGAAGCTCTTTGCCTACCTAACACTTTACTCTATTGAGGCATGCTCTCATGTAGCCCCAGGATGGCCTGGAATTCCCAATCCTGCTGGCTCTACATCCCAAGTGCTGATATTGAACAGTGTACCACCGTAACTGCTAGCTAGCTAGACCATCTCATCTTATTTTTATAAATGAGGCAAAACACTAAATACTTACCTAGATGAACAGGATCAGAAAAGCCCTGGCTTTTTATGATAGGGTCTTTGTAGTCTGGCAAGACCTGGAGCTGGACATTTAGACCAGGGTAGCCTCAGATATCTCCCTGTCTCTGCCTCATAGGTGCTGAAATTTAAAAAAAAAGAAAAAAGAAAAAAAAGTGCACCAACAAATTTGGCACAAGCTCAGTCAACTTAAGCGGAGAATCCAGGACATACCAAGACCATCCAGTCTTCATGCCATGAACCTCTGAAGACAATGTGTGCATGTATGGAACCTGAATAGTGTTGCCTTAACCAACTAAAGTGAACTAGAGCTCTAAACCTAAATCCATCCTGACCTTGAATTCTTACACAATTCACAAAATCTATTAGCACATACATCACTATGATAAATGTTGAGGACATCTACCTGATTCTTTGATGTGAAGGCTTAATTCCTTGTCCAGACATAAGACCCCGAAATAAGATATAAAACATGTGCCAGGGGGGAAACATGCATGCATTTATTTTTAAATTCCCAATAAGGGGGAAAATTCAACATCTTTAAAAATGTGTTTATTTTTTTTAAAAATTCAGTTGTATACAAAAGTGTTTCGTAGTTTTAATTCTCAAGACAAACACCCGACCCAACACCCACAGCCCACCCTGCTTCAATGGTGTTTCTGGTAACCAGCCCATTTTCCCCTTACAGGAAGTTAATGGCTCAGAATAGAGCCTCCTACGGAATTTACCATCACTAACAAACTGTTTAGAGATCTAAAGAAGCTAACAAGCAAGGTTCTTTCCCAGTGAGGTTAATGAAAATTCCTATAATGGCAGTAACTTCCAGCAGACACCACAACAAAGCACCATCAATTGCTGAAAGCTAAAAAATAGATATTATTTTCAATAATATTTCATTTTCTATTGGAAAAGTCTTTAAATTACATTAAATAAGTCTCTTTTCCCCCAAAGAAATTGTCTAGCTTTTATTATGATGCCTGTAAAAAGTAGGTGACAGTAAGCAGACACGAGCAGTAAGGGCACAGTGCAATGACTTGATCCGCTTGCCTCAGAACCAAACACATCTGTGCCACACCTGATCACAGCAGCATGGTGGGATTTACCAAGCCAAAGGTAACACAATCATGACACCTTCTGGTGATGATTGTAGGCTTCAGAGGTTCTAGCAATGTAAGAAAGCAGTAACAGAACAAGATAGGCAAGGGAGACAGCAACACTCCCCTACCTTAGGCCATGGGTTTGTACTCTATTAGAACAGTACCAACAGTATATCACATGTGTAGACATGAAGTCATGCTTCAGAAAAGGCTATTCAACAGTGAGAGCTTCAAGTCGCCTTCTCAGTGACACCAACAGGCTGATGGGCACGCATTTACTTAAAAAGGTACTGAAAGATGGAAATATAACTTTGAAACATCAACTCCTTGGAACTAGAAAAAGCACTTAATACATAACCACTTTATCGAGGTCTATGAAATAAAGGTAAGTGAACAAACACCTTACTTTTTCCTATCTAAGCACTGATTCCAGCTATGTACAATATGTCTGACTCCACTGTTCTCTGCGAAAATTCATCTTAAACCCTTACCTCACCAAAACTTGATTTCTGGTGCAGCTACACTGGATTGCAAAAACACCCTACCTCTACTGCAGTGTTAAAAAGCTGTATGAGGTTCACATTCAATTACCCAAGCTCTGCTTTTCACTGATAGACTTACTCAGCAGCCTAATCCTCATATATGATCTACTGCATTCTGTGGTGTATGAGCAAAACCTACTGCTAATTCCTTCCTGCAGATACTTAGAAAGATTTTTTGCATAGTGTTAAATGCCACTAACAATCAGGAATATTTAAATTTTTTAATGTTTTAATCTCATTCCAAACACGTTTTTGAAGGTGGTGTGTGTTTAAGTAAACTAAAACATTTGAGAGTGCAAACTCGGGGCATCTTATTTATACCAGTGTGCCTTAAGTTTCTAGACCCTGGACATTGAGTCGACCTTTCCAACATGCTCTATAACTAAGTTTTCTACTGAAAGTCAGGCACAGGCTATGTAAATGCCTATTAGAGGATCAATAAATTCTAGTGAATCTGCCTGCTCTAAGTGGGATTTCACTAAAATGACTGAGCGGGGACACACCTCCCACAAATTGTCTCACAGAATCTGTCTGCCTTAGCAGCTAAAGACCCTGGGTACCAAAAGCATGTTCCACCACTCCCAGACCAAAACAGTAAATTTTCTTTTAGAAGTTTTTTAAAATGACAAATTCTCAAAAGCAGAATTATAAAAATTTACATAGGGGTACTTTTACTATGCCTCAACTTTTAGGATTGTTTTCCTAAATGTATTTAAAAGCAAAACAAAAAGCCTGCGCATCATTTTTTGCTGAACTAAACCTACCAGACAGGAAATAAAAAGAGAAAACTCAGAGCCCAAGTGAGGAAATATCCTAGAAAGACTATTATTACATTAAGGGAAAATGAGAAATCCCAAGGAGTCTTGATTGTGTAACCCAGGGATCCTTGAATGAATGGTTCTGGTACTCAAGTGCTGGGATCACAAGAGAACTTGCCAATATGCCTAGCTGAAAATTTTTATGATGGTATAACCACATAAATGTATGAAACGTCATACTTCTCCAGCTTCCTGGGTGCTAGGGGCAAGTAAGTGTGTTCCGTACATACAGGATGGAGCCAGTCTGAGGCAATATGCAAAAAAATAATGACAATCAAGGCAGGAAATAGCTGCCTCAAAGAGGAAAGTAGATAATACTTGACTTTTGACATCTGAGTTATTTTTCATCTACCTCTAACCAGACAATATACCCTGACAATATAGGCAAAGAGTAAACTCCAAGAATGTATTTTATACTTTTAAATATTCAAATATTGTTACCAAGCCAACCTCCATTTAAAAAACTTTCTAATCTACAATGTAGCTAAACCATCCATAATTTCACACAATTCCATCTTATCTCAGAATATAAAGAAAAGTACAAAGTTTTAGCTATTTAAAATAAATAAAAACTTGTTTCCTTTGGCATCTTTAGAAAATAAACTACAGGAATAAAAGGATGTGGCTGCAACAGGAAATGTGTACATCCGCAAACACATACAACATAGCAGCTTGAGTTTAGTGTGCAGGTATAGCGACCCTAAGAGCCACTATGAACGTGAAAGCCTTACACGTTGCTGGAAGAACCTTCACATCTTTAATGTTACAATATATTTAAATGGTTCTTTTATTGCTTGTAGCATCAAAATTATGGAAAAGTCAAATGAAGTTGTGCTGAGTTAATAGGTTCAAAAGTATTTTCCAAACACTTCATGACTATAAGATGAATAACACTTCAAGAAAACAAACCTTTTAGAATGACTTTCAATATACAGCCTTTCTTTAATTCAGTCTGATACCATTACATTTCTGCAATTTGTGCATTGGTCCTCAAATTTTAGAACTGTATCTACTCTGTAACAACTGCCTACATAAATTCACATGACCCTTAATAAAGATGGTTGAATTAAATGAGTTTGCAAAACTAAGAGTTTTCAAACTTTGGAACTTAGAAAGATGTGACAGTAAGAACAGGAAATCTATGTACAGAGAAAGTAAAGTTTCAATTCTCACAGTATCTGAAGCATCATAAAGAAAGCTAGATTTTTAGAACACACCCCATTCCTATGTGCATCTGGTATGTACAGTGAGACGCTAACATCTTCCATGTGTCAACATGGAGAGTGCAAGAAAAGTGATTCTGGCTGGCAAAAGCAAACTATGAAGCCCCAGTCAGACCCAACACTACTGGAAAGAGATGGCTGCACCCTTCAAGCTCCCAAAGACTTCATCAGTTTAAAAATTAATGTTAAATTCACTGAAAAACTAAATGTGGTCCTTTTATTAACTCTGGGAACATTTAAGTATTTACTTCTTTGTAGAGAAATGAGAATTCGGCAGCCCCATTTTTACATTACTACTTACAAAGTAAAGAACCTGGAAAAAAACATTCTAAACCTACGAGCTAAAAACGGAACAAGGGACACTGTTCCTCAGCACGTTTCCCACCAAACACAGAAAAATTTACCATAAGAATCTCAGCTATGGATGGTGACAAGGGGGAAAAAAAAGTGTCACTACCTGTTCTCGGGGACCGAAAGGCTCTGATTGGGTCACCATCTTTAAATCTGGATAAATCTCCTAATTCAAGAATTTCCTAATGCTTAAGAGGGGGTGGTCTTTTCAGCTACCCTTTCTAAGAAGTCAAGTACAAGCATGCAAGTAAATTCACAGGCACAGAGGATCCACGTTCAAACGCTTAAGGTAGCTGTGATGCAACACCACAATGTGAGCGGCCGACACTCGAGTGTTGTCCTAGTTAGTCAACAGAACCCTGAAGCAAACTCGCTAGTCTTGTTACACTGCTAAACACTAAAGTAGCATGTTTTTTTCCATAGTTTTAGCTTAGCTCAAAGAATTTTTACACTATTAAGAAAAAAACTAAAGTATTTCCCCTTTTTAAATTTACACAGACGTTTAATTAGCTTTATTTACAGAGCAGGGATTTTTTTTTTTTTTTTTTGCAGTCTCCAATGGTGCCTAGATAACATCATTAGGCAAGAATGCCAGTTTAAAAGGAATTTATGCAGAATCCTAAAAATAACAGGTGTTGGTGCTCCTTGAGGAGAGGCGAGTGTAGCTGGCAGCAATTCCCCGGCCTCAGTTACTCAGAAGCAGTTCTGTTGCAGTCTCTACATCCCATGATTTTGAAGACAAGGCCACTATTACTGCATTCTGTAAAGAAGAGAACAAGAGCAATCACATCCCAAGGAAATGGAATCCTCTCTCTGCATGAGAATCATGGATTCCGTCCTCTACCAGTGACTGCGATCAACAGAAAGAGATAAACATCACTGATTTCAATAACAAAACACTATTAACCCAAACTAGATTTTTAAAAAATTGCTAGCCCACTTGTCCCAAGGACAGGGAACAGAAGCTTAAAATGAGTATTTAAATCAAATCCTGTACTTACCCTATCAAAGCCCATAGCACACAGGTTTTCTATTTTTTTGGTGTATTCTGGACTAGAAACTGGAGCTCCAGCATACACGTGTGCCCAAAGTCGAGCTGTCTGCTTGAACATTTCAGGATTTTGTTTGTACTATAAGGAGGGGAAAAAAACAATCAATAAGACAATACAGTGATAGTTACCATAACAGCTCAAATAAGAATCTGCTTTATCCAAAGAAAATAAATGTATATTTAAGATGTAATCATTTGGGCTGAGCTGTGGAGATCAATGGTAGTGTTAGCTCAGTAAGCCCGAAGTCAGAAGTTCAACCACCAGCACCCTGTGTGCGAAAACACAAAGGTGATTCATTTTCCACTGCAGATGTATTATTACTCAAGAACTGAAGCTTTGTGAAAATAAAAGACAAAGTTAATATACTTTAAGCAAGCATCTATTATTAAATGAACTATTATCGAAATGGTCTAATCATTGTACAGGAAATTACATAACTAAACAAAATGAGTAATATGTAAAGTTACATAAATATAACATAGCTGATAAATGTAACTAACATCAGCTGATAAATACAATCAATCATGCTACTAGGCCGAGCTCAAAAGGAGACACAGCTAGATTCTCTTAGAGATGTACTGCACAGTAATCCAAGTAAACCCAAAACTCAAAAATTTAACTTACCACTTCGTAATTTAAAAACTCGAAGAAGAGCCCTTTTAGACAGTAAGATTTGCCACATGAATTAGAAAGATGGAGTAAATTCATTTGTGAAAATAATGTAAAACAAAGTATAAACTAACAATGTAAATTCATTTTAATATTTAGCAATACTATTTTTAAAGATCTTTACAATTTTATTTACATAAGTACATATTATGTTTGTGTTAGGAGTATATGTGTGGAAGTGCCCAGGAAAGCCAAGAAGAGGGCAGTAGTAAGCTGTCCAGTGTGGGTGCTGGGCCCTAACCTCTGGTCTTCTGCATGAGCCTCGGGAACTCTCACTGAGCCATCCAGCTCTCCAGTCCAAAGGCATAAGGCCAGTAAATTCATCCTTTCCTTCCGTCTCTCCTTCCTTTCTCTAAAACAAGTTCTCACTATGCTGCCCTGGCTGAACTAGAATGCTGGGATTAAGTACCGCTTAATAATGAGCTCTTATCAAAGTACAAGGTCGATAATCTATTACATAGCAAAATGAATTTCAAGCAATACTTTTCAAACAACAAAATTATTTTAGGTGTTAAAAGTCACCTTTGATGTGAAATCTCAATTTGTACGAAAATCAAAGCTAAACTTCTCAAAAGGACTTCTGCTACCAAACCTTAACAAAAAGCAGAAATGTGAAAACTGAGAAAAGCTGTAATTCCAAGCACTTTTAAGTCTAGCAGTAGAACTAAGGAAGCACGCAAAAGAGGAATAAGAAAATATATGTAAATTAAAGCCATAAAGGAGGCCTGGAGAGGTGGCTCCAAATACTTGCTGCTCTTCCAGAACCAGAATTCCCAACAATTGGGAGCCTATAGTTTCAACTAAAGTATATCCAAAACCTTCCTCATACCTCTACAAGGACTGGTACTCAAGTACATGTTCCTGAAGATCCATAAGACACATAATTTAAAAGTAAGTCTTACGTTTAGTTTTTCTGAAACACGGTTTCTGTGTAGCCTTGGTTCTCCTCTCCTAGACTCACTCAATAGACCACGCTTGTCCTTGAACTCAAAGAGCTCCACCTGCCTCTACCTTTCTGAGTGCTGGAATTACAGGCATGTGCCACCACGGCCTGGCTAAAGTAATTGCCTGACACACAGGGTAACAAGGAAGGAGGTAACAGTTGTCCTTTGACCCACACATGCATGCTGTGAGAAACTCCTGCCCACACTTAAACATCAAGAAAGCATATAAAAAACATATTTATTTGTTTGTTTATTTATATGTGTGTGTGCTTTATCTGCATATACACTTGTATGACAAAAGAAGGCATCAGATCACAACACGGATGGTTGTGGGCCACTATGTGGTTCCTGGGAATTGAACTCAAAACTTCTGGAAGAGTAGTCAGTGCTCTTAACCACTGAGCCATCTCTCCATCCAAAAAAGCACATGTAAAAAATTTTTAACAGTAGTTGATAAATGTTTCTTCAAAGAGGAAGCAAGGAAAACAAGATGAAATGACAGAAAAATGACAAATAATCTCAAAAATTAATGAGCTCAAAGAATAACATGTAAGAGAAAGTGTTCAAGAGCTCAAATCATGAAGCATTTGGACATCAGTGATAGTAGAGTTCCTACCTAATTTTTATTTGTTTGCTTGCTCATCTGTTTTATTATAAGTGACATGATTTGTTTTATGTGTGACAAAATTATTTTATTAAAAGAAACCATTTCCAAATTTAGTCCCAATACACAAGTCTAAGAAAGTCCTTCAAAAAGCTGCTTTCTTACCTGATTTGCTACTACTGCATCTTGGGGGTCATCGGGTTCTGCAGCTGCCAACAGTGCTTGCAATGACAATAATACCGTGCGCAGAGTCATTGCTGCTGCCCTAAATTTCAAAATAGGAAAATACCCCACTTAAAGAGGACTCTGAAGGACATAAACGTGTATGTTTTCTGAGCAGAAATAAAAATATACTGGAACTAAAATTTAAATAGCTAGCAAATATGTATGAATAATTGCCAATTTTTTGTGGGATTTTGGGGGAGGGGGGTGATCTAAGACAGGGTTCCTTCTGTGTAGCCTTGGCTGTCCTGGAACTTACTTTGTACACCAGACTAGCCTCTGCTGGGGTCAAAGGCATGCACCACCACCACACAGCTCAATTTTTATTATTACAATGAGACAATTCAAATCACCTCACCCTGATCTGGCCTTGCTTTTCTCCACTTGTTATGTTTACCTATCCTGTAAGCTTTATCTACTGACTTCATTCTTAACTAATTTCCTTCTTAAACAAAATATTCATGTTTTTATTACTTATGCGTGTGAGTTTCTGTTTCCATGTCGGCACCTGAATACCTGGTGCCCAGAAAGCTCAGAACTGGAATTAAAGATGATTCTAAGCCACTATTATGGCTGCAGGGAAGCAAAGCCAAAAACTCTGCAACACATGCTCTTAACCACTAAACACCTCTCCAGCCCCTTACCCATATTTCATAATAAAGGGTTAAAGTTATTACTAATAATATAATAATCTGTGGGATTTAACAGATTTTTATTATCTCTAATTAGAAACATGTTTGTGTATGTGCACATGTGCACATGAGTGAGTACAGGTGTCGACAGAGGCCAGAAAGCAGCTGATCTACTCCAGCTGGAGTTACAGTTGTAAGCCACCCAACATGGGTGCTGGGAATTCCACTTGGACTCTTCAAACAGCAGTACATGCCTTAACCACAAATCAGCCCCTACAACTCTTTTAATGGCATAATAAATAAAGCAAGCTAATAAACTGCCTTTTAAAGGTTCTATAATCAGGCCATCATATTCCAAAATAGGACAAATTTTTATTCAAACTATTACACTTGAGGTTGGCGAGAGGCTCACCATTATGTATGTGTACTGCTTTTGTAAAGGACTTGAGTTTAGGTCCCACCACCCAAGCTGGGCAGCTAACAACTGCCTGTAACTCCAGGGGCTCTGATGCTGTCTGGGGTCTGCAGGCATCCACATGGACTACATATACGCCTGCACCAATAAATATACATACTTAGAGATAAAAATAAATGTTATCACTTAAATAATGCTCCTAAATATGTTTACAACAAAAACCTTTTTCTGTATAAAGCAATTATTTGTTTAAAATTTCCTTCACTATGATTGAAATATTTACAATGACAGCTAAGCAGTGGTGAAACATGACACTGGGAGGCAGAGGCAGGTGGATCTCTGTGAGTTCAAGGCCAGCCTGGTCTACAGAGCTCGTTCCAGGACAGCCAGAGCCACACAAAGAAACCCTGTCTCAAAAAAATAATGAATAAATGAAATAAAAATGAACATAATGCTAATATATAGTGAAGAATCTAAGACCACACTCTTTCTGAGGTATTGGGCTGTCTGTCATCCAGGGCCTCATAAAGGCACTCTGCTACTGAGCCTCTAGGCCTATTGTGCTCAATTTTTTTTTAAAGATATTCTTTTATTTTTATTATTACAAATGATTATTTTAAACCAGCATTTTCTGGTAGAATTCCTGATTGCTAAAAACAAACAAACAAATAAAAACCTAGTGACTACTTTCAGTTTCCATGAATAATACAATACATAAAAAGATAATCCTAAATGTTTAGGCAAAAAAGATATTTTATTAGAAACAGCATATTTTAAAGCACTGAATTTCAATAAATTTTCTTCCCCTGATAAGTGGCATTAGCAAGACTGAGGAACTTGTTTTTTTTGGGACAATGTCTACTATTTCACCTTAGACAGATAAAGAATTGGATTCTCGTGTCTCACCTTCCCAAGGGCACAGATTACTTTATTACTTATGCTCAGCTAATGACTTAGAAACAAAAGAAATGAAAGTTCTCCTCATTGCAGACCTGCTCATTAGAAGCTACAAATGTTTGAACAAATGTTCCAATGACAAAAGATAGTATTTGAAAAATATTGTAATTTACAACTTAAGCTAACTGACAACAACTGTTCTACACCAATGAAGTAAATACAATATTGGTCTGTGTCTCTTGTGTTAAAATAACCACTATGCATAGTTCTCTAAAATGAACTTAGGAAGGCAGACATGGCAGCATAGATCTATAATCCTACTACTTGGGAGACAAAGTCAGGAGGCCAAATTTGGCCTAATATAAAGCAATTTAGAATGGAACTTGCTGGTTCATCAATTTAGAATTCTAGAGAAACTAAAGCAATCGGGGAAACCTAGCATCATGCTTACAAAGGAGCTGACACCACCAGGCACAGTGCTGTAAAACCTTCACACTAGCACTTGGTACAAAAAAAAAAGCAAGATCTCAAACGAAGGCTCATTTAGGTAAAAAGGTGTCGGCTACATTGGGCTAAACTGAGCCCTGTCTCAAAAAAACAAAAACAGACTGGAATAAATAAAATAAGCTAACACACTGAAGCAGCACTTAAAATACAAGAGTACTTTTTAAAGCATTTTTAAAGCACAGTTTGGTGGTGTAAGCCTTTAATGCCCAAGAGCATGAGAGGCAGAGGCTAGCCTGCTGTACAGTTTCGTAAAAACCTCAACTACAAAGACCCTGTCTTAAAACAAAAGAAAACCTTTTCAAACAGCTCTATATCCTAGATGACAAAGCAGACACTATTCTTTCCTAGGTCTAAGTGTCCAATTTCTTAAGAGCTTCAAAGTTAATTTTCAACCAAGTATGATGAGATAACTAACTAGATTAAAAAAAAAAAATACTTGTGAGACCAGCCTGAAAACTAAGTTTATCCCTAGAACCGAGATGAAGGTTCAAAGAGAAAAAAAGATTCCACAGTGGTGGCCTATGACTTTCAAACTTCCAATCATAAACACATATAATAAATAAGCTTTTAAATAAATGAAAGTTAAAACATAACCAAAATTCACCCTTAAATATTCACTTATAACGTTTTTTCTATTACCACAAAAAGATGGAAATTAATTAAGAAGAGCATATTATTCTAAATTTAATATTTCAGAAATTTCAGGATAGATGGTTAGTAACTAAGAGTACTTGCTGTTCTTGTAGAGGACACAGGTACAGTTCCCAGCAGCCCGTGACAGCTTATATGTCTATAGCTTATATCTGTCTATAACTACAGTTACAGAGGTATTAACATTCTATGGACTCCAGACTCTATGTACATGGTACACACATACATGCAGCCAAAAGGGCAAATACATGAAATAAACATATCTTTAAGAAAAAGAAATTCTGAAGGCTATGTTTAAAGGCACATGCACATTTAAAGGTAGCCTAGATTTATCAGCAAAAAGATGACTTAAAATAGCAAAACAAATACAATAACTTCACAAAATTTGAACATAAAACACAACCTGGTTACTCGAATGGACCTTGCTTTTTATCATGCAAAAACTAAACCAAGCCAAGCACTCAGATGTGGAGCTAACTGAGCTAAAGCCCAAACCTAACAAGAACTTTCACCCATGCTTGTTTTTTGGTAAGCATTGAGAAATAATGTCACTTTGTGTCCCAGCAAGGCCTTGAACTCATACTAGAGTAACAGGTGTGGGTCACCATGTTTAATTCATATGTTTTTTTAAAAACATTATCATTTATTACAATTTGTTCAATTTGTATCCTGGCTGTGTCCCCCTCCCTCGTCTCCTCCCCATCCCACTCTCCCTCCCTCTTCTCACCCTATGCCCCTCCCCTAGTCCAGTGACAGGTGAGGTCTTCCTCCCCTTCTATCTGACCCTAGCCTATGAGGTCTCATCAGGACTGGTTGTATTGTCTTCCTCTGTGGCCTGGCAAGGCTGCATCCCCCTCCAGGGGTAGGTGATCAGAGAGCCTGTCACTGAGTTCATGCCAGAGAAAGCCCCTGCTCCCCTTATTAGGGAACCCACCTGGAGACTGAGTCTATGGGCTACATCTAGGCCGAGGTTTTAGGTCCTCTCCATGCATTGCCCTTAGTTGGGGTATCAGTAATTCATATATTTTTAAAAACATAATAATTTGTGTTCTTTGAAAAAGCATTTTTGTTTTAATTTTTGGAGACAAGGTCTGTTAAAAAGTAGTGATAAGCCAGTCGCGGTGGTACACACCTTTAATCCAGGCAGGAGGCAGGAGACAGAGGGATCTATATGAGCTCCAGGCCAGCCTGACCTGCATATTAAGTTCCAGGACAGCAAAGACTGTTATAGAGAGACCCTGTCTTGGGGGGGGGGGGGGGGGTAGAGGTGATAAAGTATCACTTGGTCCAGGAGAAGCAAAAACAAAATTACCCTTTAGAAAGCAGCTTTATACATTGCAGACACTCCTGATGAGAGCTGATAAGCTAGGGTCAGATGGAAAGGGAGGAAGACCTTCCCCTATCAGTGGACTTAGATTGGGGCAGGGAGGAGATGAGGGGGGAGGGTAGGATTGGGTGGGAGGGGCTACAGCTGGGATAGAAAGTAAATAACCTGTAACTAATATTAAAAAAATTATATTAAAAAAAGAAAGCAGCTTTATTAGGGGATATGAACTCTGGACCATAAACAATCCTCAAAGGAGAAAGAACATTAAACAGAAAACAGTTTATACATGCAGATACACATGTATATATGTGGGGGGGGGGGGGTCCCCTTGGGCAAGAGTTACATCCATATGAGCTGCAATGTCGGAGCTGGGAAATGAACCTGGGTCCTCTGGAAGAGCACACAGTGCTCTCAATCACTGAGACATCTCTCCAGCCCCCCAAATTACTTCTTTTAAAAAGCTAAGTTTGAATAGCAAAGAAAAATCTAAATATAAGAATATCCTATCAGGAGGCTGAAGAGATGGCTCAGGGGATAAGAGCACTGTCTCCTCTTGAAGAGGTCCTGAGTTCAATTTCTGGCAACCACATGATGGCTCACAACCATCTATACTG